AATTACCTAATAATAGTTATTTAAATTAAAAATGACATAAATTTAGTTTTTAAGTATATCTAATGTTTTAAATATAAATTTTAAATTATATCAGCCGTGATAGTATTTTCATTATTTCAATAAATACATTTTAGAGTAATAAATCTATATTAATAGTTTAATGTAGCAACTTTCAAGTTAAATAATTCGAGACTATGATTTCAAATATTTTACTGATTAAATAAAATTAATTTTTACTGATGTAAATTTATTACGAGACCCGTTTAATTTATATCAAGTCAAATCCATTATTATGAGACAAATGTGTTTTGAATTATATTCACAGAATAGAACTTTATATGTATATTAAGTTGTGAAAGAAGAATAATACACACACACACACACACACACACACACACACACACACACACCAGTCAAATGTAACTGATAGTGGATGTAACATAATAATAATTTATGAATAGGAAAATTTTTATCTCAATTTTTAGACTGTTGATTTTTTGTACAATTTTGTTTTACCACACAATATCATGTATGATTATAGGTTAATTAAATTACTCAGCTCTTTTATTCCAGTTTTTCATTCATACAATTATACAACAAGGAAAACTCATTATGTTGTTATAAATTTAATTTATCTGATTTCAGAACAAAATGCAGTTAAAAAAACATAAAAAGAGATTTTAGAAAGAAACTATAGAAAATATTTTTTTAGTTGAGTATTTTAATAGTCAGTAACATAGAAAGATAAAAAGAAGTTTAGATATTTCACGATTATTGAGGAAGAACATAGTGATTAATAATTGTTTAACGAAGAGTAATAGATAACATGAAGCGAGACGACATCTTTATGTCTTATATAGCAGATTAAACCCCATTTAGTGTATACTGGTAAAAACAAAACAACAATTTAAGATACTATCATACAATCAGAACCGAAACAGAGCGTGAACTTTATTTTATACAATATGTTTGTTTTTTGTCAAAAACAACTTAACAGATGTCAGAAGCAAAATGATTATTTAAAATGGGTTTATTATAATCAGGAAGAGTTCGAGTATAACAAAATCCTTTGAAATGTATAAAAGATACATGAATCTATATAGTGCTAATATACACGGCTATATGAATTTTGAAATTAAATATGTAATAGCTCAGCGGTTTCTACATTTTTTTGGGTTACGCACCCCCAATACAAAAAAAAAAAATAATCGCGCTTCCCAATATAACATTTTTTATTATTTTAATATAAGCAAATTATTGTCGATCGTATAATAAATACATAGTAGTGCAATATACAATATAAATATTTGCTTTGCACTTCCCCTAATAATTGCTTGCGCTTCCCAAGGGAGGCGCACCTAACAGTTTGGAAACCTCTGTTACAACTTATACTACCAAGTTTATTAAACCTAATTCTTCAAATTTTTATTAAAGACTTTTATATTCATTATTAATTCGATAACAATTTCCTGTACCTACTCGATATACTTTAGGTAAGGGAACTTTTTTTTTACAAAAGAATAAACAAATATGTACACCAATTATTATAATTATTAAAAAGTAATACTATATAATCTAAAATAATTAAAACAATATATACTTGTATTAATAGAAATAAAATATTTTAAAAATGAATAAATTATTTTTATAATACATATATAAAACAATTTATATTATTTCAAACACATTATACCATTCTAAATTATTATTTTAAAATTTAATACAATATAACAATTAAAATTATAGTACTAGCTGACTTACAGAAACTCATATTTTAGGTACCTTTTTAGTGAACATAAATCCTTGTTTAATTGTATGTTTACCATTATATCGGTTTTATTTTTTTTTGTGACTAAACTTTTGGACAGTAAATCTGTAACAAAAGTTTCATGTAGCAAACTTTTTTTTATTGAAAATTGAACACATAAAGTACTTTAAACAAGTTATACTTTGATTTTCTCAGTAGTTCCCCTATGTATATAAAAAAGTGAAAAAACTTGGAAATAATTTATGTTTTATTTCAAGTTAAAAATAAATATGCTAGTCTAAATATTTAATGATTAACAATTGATAAGAATATAAGTTACATAAATTAACTTATCCATATTTATTAACATTTATCAAACTTTTATAACAAGTGGTCTTAACAACAAAACTATTTTATGACTTTTGGTTTAAAAACAAATTTGATTATAACAGTCGGTTTTATAACACTTATCTCAATATTCGCGTACATATTATAATGTTGTGTATTTAATAAGCTCTTGTCCATATAATATATTTAACTACATATTCAGTATATCTACATTTGTATTATATTTTTTTTTACGATCTTTCAGTAATTTTCTTTCGTACATTACAATCTACCACTGTATTAAAATAAATTCCTATAAACGATTACGATATTTAACATAATAAAGGACAATAATATAAAAGAAAAAAAAAATAATTTAATATCTCGGCCCAATGGGAGGTTGAGGTAGTGTTTGAAGAAGTTGCTCACAGTAATTCACAGAACAATACCTACATAATTTAATCACACAAAATCATAATATTTTTTAGTAAATACCTATAATTTGTTATTTATGATTTTTTTTTTATATTATAACTGTAATACTGAATTTGACAATCATAATGATAGAAAAATTCTAATCTATATTACAATATGGTTAAATAGTTCTCCAATATTTCATTGTCTTGAATTATTCACGGTGAAAAACTAACAGTCAATTTTAGAGTAAAACATTGATCAACTTCTAAAAAATTTTTTTATGTGTGTAACTACAAACTCTGATAAATAACAAGGAAATTTTTGGGGTATAAACACAAAACAAATTTTAAATTGAACATTGTATCCTTAAAAATATAAAATTAAAAAATATTATGATTATAAACGACAATATTTATATTTACGGCTCGCAGATGAAAACTACTCGTTTCGTGAGCCAAATGTACCGTACAATTATTGTCGATAAACATTCGTGGAAATAACTTTGGTTTTCGCTACCTCTATTAGCTGTAAATCGATTACGATGATCTGATTTCGAACTTGTGGATTCACGAAATATTTGGATAAATAGCGCGACAAGATGTCGGGAAAATGACCGGAAAATCCGTGTACAAGAATATTATAAGCACCTGGTTGGTCTGTTTGATTCGTTAAAGCCGGGTTCACACTACACCGCACCGTGTAATGTGTATTTCACCATATCGTGTATCACGAATGTGCCCTTAACACACTACTTATCAAATATTGGTCACATATTATTGAGTATGTCATTGAATCTATTAAGATCAATGACCACAAGTTCAAAATTAATTGGATATACTCAACTTTATGGTGGCGCGTGCGCTTACTTTGGCAAAAAGTGATAAATACATATAATCATGAAATATATAGATACCATGAATATAACATAAACGAACTATAAGTACAGGTATGGTGAGTAACATTTAAAAATAATTGATTAGTACCAGTCGTTTAAAAATTTATACTTCCATAAATATTAGAATAACCCTGTTTCGGGATCGAAGACATAAGAGTTTTTTTATTTTATTTTTTATTTGTTGTCTAGTTTTTACCACAGTTATAAGTCATATTTTAAGATGTTTGGAAAAATATGGAGAATATGATGGAGTACTCGACTCGTTTTTGCCAACGATTACTCTCACTTCATTTGCGCGGTAGATCATCGGTGATGTATCTAAACACGTAATAACCCCATGGCTCGATCAATCGTAAACAATTAATATAGTTTAACACGATGCGTTTTATTTGTATATGTTTCTCAACCTCTTTGACATCACGACTCTCAAAATAGGTAAAACAATTAAATCAATCACCTCACGACCCCCTCCCCCATTACAATAAATAGTAATTTAACCTTTATCTGTTGCACTATTTACAAAATGTATTATACTCGTATCATTAATCATTAACAAAAGTAACTAGTATACGAATACGGGTAAACGTTGATTGTATTTGCCACTTTTTATCTATGCAAAAAAGGCTTCTCTCTCATGGAGGCATTAAAAACTAAGTACAGAAATCGTTTGTTATAATAGAAAATCACTTACTTTTATGCGTTTCAAATGTCGATCCATGAACTAACAAACTTTTTCGTATACAACAATCACAGATATCACATTATTCTGTTTCATTTAATTTTTAATTTTAGTTTAACCCCTCGGTTGAGACTTGCTGAGGTGAAAACTCATCTATAGTTAATTCGAGTTGACTTTAGTCGATTGCGCGTCGTTCGAGATTATAGAGTTAACTCTCTGACTCCGGTTCGAAAACGGCATATTCGTTATTTCGAGTTACAACCCTTGTTATCCGAGTGAAATAGGTAGATTACTCGTTACTCTATTGATAATATACTCTAATATTTTAGAGTAATTTTTTTGTAATTTTAATTTTTGATCATACATTTATGTATATATTCCATATTATTTTCAACACTAACACTTTTATTTTGTAGTTTTGTGGTATAATGTAGTTATTCTTTTCATCATACACATTTATGGCAATGATCACCTAATACTATAGTTTTTACTGTACACAATTTTAATCTCCTTCGAATAATTTTTGTGTGTAATATACTATGGACGATTTCCTCATTGAATCGAATAACAAACAGATTTTTAAATAAACTTATTCGATCTTGAAATGAGTATACTATGATTGTAGAATACATTTTCTTAACGATTTTCAATCAGTTATCAAAAAAATCTCATCTAACGATCGTTCGAATTTTTGGAGTGATCTCGATTAAACACTACTCTACTACACTAACTACATACGAATATTGGAACGCGACCCCGGTGTAAACGATAGTGTGCCGTGAAGATAACCGGACTCGTCGACGAGGACGCGCAAAGTTTTCAACGGTCAGCGGTGCGGGGGCGGTGCCCACGGTGGTGGCGCGCCGACCGTCAACGAGTCTGGTCCGCCGATCGGCCGTTAGCGCGCGGTACGAACGGCGCACGCACATATACGAACACCGCTTCGGAGCGAGCGCCCGCCGTCAAGTTTCTGTCACGCGCCAGTCGCCTGACCGTCCACATTGCGTTACGGTCGTGCGCGCGTCGTTGTTCGCGAGCGTCGCCGGTACGTCCCGGACTGCACGTTTCCCGCGCGCGCGAGTTTTCTTCCCCGTTTCCGCGTCCGAACCGGCCGGTATCCACCGACACCGGTATAACAATAATTATAGTACACGTCGGTTCGTGAACCGCGGTACCACTACAAGTACCACTACCGCCACCGCCACCGCCACCGGGTGCGGTAACGCGATTTCGGCAAGCGTTCCACGGTCTACCGTGACCACGAAGACGACGAAGATCCCGCAGTCCGGTATGTACGACGCGGGTTGACAGCCGAGTCACTCGCAACACGATCCGCCGCCGGCGACGGCAAAGACTTTTTTTTTATTCGCTCACCGCGGCCGACCGAACGGCTTTTACTCTTGCGTCGCACGTTACACCGTTAACCCGTCCGATTCGGCAACGAAATGGTCCGTCCTGCGGTCTTGGCTTTGGCGCTGCTGTTCTGGCTGAACGCCCGTCCAGGAGGAGTTTCGGGTCAAGGTAATTGCACCCTTTATTTTTATTACACATACTTATATGTATGAATGTATGTATGTATACGTTACCCATGTGTGTGCAATATACGACGTGTGCGAGTGTATGTGTGTGTGTGTGTGTGTGTGTATGTGCACGTTATTCACGGCCGCCCTCAGTTAACCTGTCAATTCGGCCACGTCGTTAAAAAGTCACGCGATATTTTTTATTACATCTTTTTCTTTTTTTTTTTTCATATTTTTCCATATTTTTTTTTTTTCATACTCATTTACTCTTTACACTCATTATACTCTTATTATTTATAATACAAATGGTGGTCAACTAGACGCTACCGTTGTACTTAGTAATTCATTTACATTATAATGTATGCGTATTATTATACGTTATGATTATACACTACACGATTACTACACGATTATACATATACATGTATACAATTTTATTATTATCCAATCTACCCAAGCACTAAAACAAAATTGGCGAAAATGTCGTTGAGACATCAAAATATTTCTAATACCATTATAATGCGCACCGACATTAACAAATTATCTGCACAACATTTTGATCGAAATTTATTATTATAAATTGCATAGGTATTCTTCATGCTTTTATGCCAAAGGTTTTGTTATAATATAACTGCACGCTGATATTTTAGTTATTTGTTGCTCACTTTGTTGTGTTACTGTTTAAATATCATACATTTGATTTGTTTAATTTTAAAACCATATTTTAATTAAATTAATTTTTAGTAATATTATATTTTCTAAATAAATTATTTTTTAATAGTAAATTAATTATTCACAATGTTCTTATAATTACAATAATTATAGTTATATAAATAATTTTTCATCTTTGATTTCGATTCTAACAAAGTATTCCAATATGAAACTTGGTCTTTTCCTTTGATATTATCGTGTGCACCTAAGAGTATGCGAGTTTTTAATAGGTTTATTAATATCAAATTATATTAATTTCGTTCATGATCTTTATAATTAACTCATATCATAGGCCTATATTACTTAATTTCTTTCAAAGAATTGTTTTAGTGATAATATTTTGCTTGATGAATATTTTCTCAGAATTATTCAAAAATTAGATAATTTATTAATAGTTCATGTTATTTAATATACCAGAAAATATTTTTTCAAAACTATTTTAATTGTTAATATATTAATTTTTTGCAATAGATTCTGTATTCAAATAAAAATAACACAAATACCAGTGGTTCTAGGGTGTTTTGTTACACCTCAGGTTACATCTATGTATATAATATATTTATTGGTTCATCATTGCCCTTTTGTTGTTAGCTGAATATCGCTTAAATATTCAGTATCAAGCTTTGTACATTATTATTATTTTTATAATTTTACAAGCTTTAGCTATATCAAAAGGTTTCCAAGCGATATTACCGAATATTTGTAAGTGGACGGTGAATCGTTTGATGGCCAATGGTTTTATTATTGGAGTGAAAAAAAAATGAAGTTAATAAAAAATATCCCGTGACAACATATTTATGTGAAGTAGAGGATTCATTATTATCAAACATTGAAGGCAATTTAATGTTATGATCAATATTATAAAATAGGGAATTTGCAGTATATTAATTTTTCTACAAGATTTATAAATGGTATTTTTATTTATATATAAGTTATACGTTTTTTAACTTATATATTGCTATAAGTAAATATTGAAGGAATTTATATTCACAGAATAAGTCTAAATTTAATTAAATTAAGGTGTTATATGTTTATGTTGAAGTTTTATAGAAATATCACTTAGTGTATATTTTTAAAGTAGAAGTAAATAAACAATGAGAATTAATTTACAATACACTTATATTTTATTTTGTTAACATTATTCTTGGGTAATAGATTTGCACTGAAATTTTTATATTATATTTTAGTATACACATACATTTTGGAAATTCAATTCAGAAAATATTTTACTCGTCATGTTTAGGTTTAATCGGTAGCTTTCCCAATAAACTTCGTAGAGCAAGTGTTGATTGATCATTTTTAGTGATGGATCTTAATCTAATTTAATTTTAAGTCAACTTTAAAACTTAAATATTGAAAAGTTGATTTTTTTAGGTATTTTTTATGTAAAATGGCATACATAATTATGAGAAATAGATAATGATAATTTTTTTATTTTTTGACTTCAATTTTTTTAAGTTGTAGTTTTATTTTCAATGTTTGTATAAAAAATGTACCCAACATTGTTTCAAGACAGTCTAAAAACAAACATCTAAAATTATTTTCGAGATTATTTAATTATATAATAAATTTAAGTTGCAATAAAATTTAAGTATATGTTATTAATAGACATACAATTATAAAATACACCGAACGATTTTGTATTCATGATAATTCTTTAGTACCAAAATGATTTAAAAATATGAATGTACCGAATAAAAATGTACAGTTCCTACCAAATTAAGTTGTTATATTAAATATTAATGACATACGTAAGTATATTGTACCTACCTATATACATTATTATTATATGTTGGTAATTTAACAACCCATACTATTTTATTTTTATTTCATGCTTCTAAATGGCTATATTAAAGTTTTAAAAGTGTTAATTTTATATTTTTTGAATAAAAATATCAACTTACTTCATTTGTGTATTAAATTAAAAATAATGTACTAAAATAGTTAGTAGTATACCTACAATAAAAATTATTGCTTTGTTCTGCTGTAAAACATAATATAAATATGACTTATTTGTAATATTTTGATATTTGATTAAAATAATGAAAATAAGAACATAAAGTAAATTAAAATTTAAGGTTTTAAAGCTTTTAAGATTATTTTATTATTAAAATATAACATTTAGTTCTATGTAAAGAATGTTTATTTGTCTACATTTAAAGAATAAATATCTAATATTAATTTTAGTATACATTTTTTTTTTATTGTTGATCTTTATAGTTTTTTTTTTCATCTACATTTTTATATTACATTAATGAAATGCATATAATTTATTTTTTCTATATTTCATATTTATTGTATTAAAAACATAATAATTAAAATTAAATTTTAAAACCATTATGAAGTAGTTTTTTTCATTAAGAGCCTATTTGAGTACTATTGGTCAATTATGAGTTATTTAAAAAAAAAATATTGACATTTGATAATTTTTAAAATTATTTTAATTGCTTACTTTTGTTTATACTATAAAATAAATATTAACGAAGTATATTTTTTAAAATTATTTCTTTTGAAACTGAACTAAAAATGTTCACACCTACGGTTTAATCAATTTTTCGAACAATTGCTTTTTTGACAATGTTTAAATCTTAATTTTCTTCACAATGATTTTATAAATCATACATAAACACACAGTTCACAATTTGCTATGAATAAGTTTAGGTAATATTTTAGTGAAAAAATAGTAAAAACGATATTGTTATTGGTGACAGAATGGTTATAATATCGAATTCGGTGTGGTATTTAAAGATTTTTTTCATTCGGGAAGATGTTTTTATGGCTCATGAATGAATATTGACATATTAGACTGAAATCATAAAAAAAAAAATACATATCACAATTTTACTAACTAGATAAATATAATTAAAAAAATTGGGTGAAAAATAATTAGAAATATATGTAAATGTTAGCTCTCTTTATTCCGTTGTTCAAAATAATGTTTTCATTTAAATCTTTCGCTAGTAAATCATTACTTTAATAAATGTGCATTCAATTAAAAAATATTCCAGCTACAGATAAGTAATATATATATAAATATGATTACATTATTTCTATTTAACTAAACAATTATAATTAATAGAATCATGAGATCTTTGACCTATTTTTTACCATTATACTTTACAGATAAAAAGAGTAACAATTCATGCATAGTTATCAATTAATAATTACAATGTTTTCATTGAAATAAATAAATTTTATGTACTCATAAGACTCGAAATGCCATAAAAAAAAAAAGAATTAAATTGTTTTTGTAGTAATTTTCTATGTTATTAGAATAGATTAAAAATTGTCATTTTTTTTTTTTTATTGATGATACATTCTAAAAAATAGTGACTTATTATTACACTGATATTAAGTGTTGCAACTTATGAAATCAACTAAAAAAAAGAAAAAGATCTAATCATCGAATTCATGTATAAAAATAAAAATATAAATAACTAAATTAAATAGCGATGTAATAAAATGATAAATAATCAATTCATGTAAATATTAGCTCTAAATTTAGTATACATAATTTTGTACCAAATAGATTTGCAAATTTAATGTCTAAAGTCTTTTATCTAATTTGTGTCATACTTCTTAATAATCATAATCATGCAAAACAAAAAAAAAAATTGAGTCTGGTCGATAAACATCTGAACGCTAGTGACAATATATAATATTTGTCTATGGTAAAATCGAAGATGAATAAAGACTAATAAGACTAATAAAAGGGAACAGAAAAATGTAAAATGTTAATTAACTTTTGTCTCCTATCTTGCTTATATTTTTGATCAATAAATTATAAATTATAGAATTTTAAAAATAATACTAAGCGATGAATAATAATATATTAAAACCGAATTCTTTATCTCATACCAAATGTAATTTAATAGTTGATAAAGTATAAAAAATTGTTTATTCTTGTATGTATTTAAATCACGTTTTAAAATAATGTATAATTGATCAATAACAATTTTAAAATTATAACAGTATTTCAAATATATAAATTAAAAAAATCTTCACCTTTAAATCAATCTTGTCATACTCTATATGTAGTTTAAAGTTCACGAAAATTGTGAAATTTTGCTTTCTAATTGAAATAAATAAACAATTGCTCGTTGAACGCAAATATGAATAAAAATTACTTCTGTAGTTGAAGGTCCCATTAGTAGTATATTATTAACTAACCCGTTCTTAGTAATTTTTGCGATGTAGTGATTAGGATATTAATTAAGTATATAGGAGGCACATTGAATCACATCGATTTAGTCGATTTAACTGCATACGACGTTGTATCACACGTTTCAT